CTTCCCAAAAAACATCCTTATCAAAACGTTCTCTACCCGTGATTAAGATTAACTGCTTGCTCTTCTGACTTTCCTTTTGCAAGCTGTATAACAATAATAGCAGTAGTAATTATACAATAATAATAACAATAAAAAACATATAATATAATAATAAATATACAACTCTAATGATATATGCAATAATAATAATAATTATTATTATTATTATTAATGCATGTATGTGTATAATAATAACTGACGTTAGATAAGTGAAGCAATGCAGTCTCATAACTATCGCTATTCTTTACTTTACATTAGTATTTTTACGCAGCAATGATGCAGAGCGTGTGTTCAACTCTTTTGAGAGGTCTCTTGAACATGTAAGTTTTTTTGAGATTTATTTTTGAATTCAAACATTTTGAAATTTAAATGGAAATTTGAAGTGTAATTCAGTTTGATTGTTGCATCCCCGGCGACATTTACTGACTCGGAATACTCTGCTCGGTTTAAAATTTGATTTTTAACGAGATAAAAATGGACATTTCTTGTTTTCGTTGCGTGATTTTATTACGAAATTTATTTCTCACTGTTTTTCGGTGGACTTCCGAGGAGGGGGGGGGGTACTTCTGCTTTGGAATTTTGAAACGTCTTTGTATGGGGTGCAACTCTTCGATGGAAATTGCTCGGTACTCCTCTCATGAGTCACAAGTTTTCAGTCAGCGCCTGTCCATCGAAATTCTATGCTTACTTCAGTCTGAAACGTCAGTTTTAACGTTGAGGAATGATGCTTAGGCGTAAGTTTTGTGAATTGAGTAAACATAGTCTTGTATGAGCATTATGTTTATTCTTCAGCGATATTTTCATCCTGTCACTATTGTAGTGAGAAAGAAATTTTTGCATGATACTCCATTTTGCATTGCATTTTTGTGTGCGAGTTTATTTGTGCATGATGCTTTTGGATAATATTTTGGTCTATTCTATTTGTTGTTTTATTTGTTTGTTGTTGATGATTGATAGAATATGACTGATAAGGTTACGGTAGGGAATGTGTTACTGATAAGAATTTGCCGATGTATTTGGCTGGATGATATTCGAAGCTGTTGCGTTTGCATACGGAAGATTCAAAATGTCGTGTAGATACAAAGACACGACATTTTGAATGTGGACACATTGTCTTGAATCTGTCAAGACCTCTTCTGCGTTCATTTCATAGAAGTTGATGTTATGAAAGCAGAAGATTGAATTGATGCATGGCTAGGACTCACTCTGAACATAGAAAAGGTGGTGTTGGGAACCTTGTTCGGTGGCCTTCGACCGAATGCCTTGTCGGAGCCACCGAAAGGTAATTTTCAGGCATCTGTTTGAGTTGTCGTCGATCGGTGGCAACCGAAGTTCGGTTTGCCGAGACCCCGGCCGAACCGACCCTTTCGATAGCGCTCGGGGGCCGCGATTTTCGGTCGGTG